ATACATATGCACTTACAAGGCAGGGTAGGGTATTAAAGCGGGATTAGTCTGTATGTAGATGAAATACAACACTCGGGATATATGCCCCTGCTGCAATGAAGTCTGCCGACCAAGATGTAAAGGGTATTGGTTTTAATTGCAAGCTCCTCAGTTGCATACAAACTCGTTATCAGTACGGAAAACTGAGTTCACTGAATAAAATAATTAATATTGAGGTGACGATTAAAAATGGTGATTCCTGGATTAAAATTAGCTTAGTTCTCGAAAAATACTTTCGTGAGATAAAGATAGAAATGACAATTGTATAAGACCGTACAATTCATAATAGAAAAATAAAGTCACTGCGAAGGGCTTTCTGCATGAAAATAAGCTGAGGATTAGCTCACTTCAATTGTATGTGTTTATAAACCGAAATATAATTGGGTAAAAATTATTCAGTCCGGATGTTGGAAAGTATGTATGGAAATTCTAATATAATTCTGCTTTTTTAGCCACAAATGAGTTTAGGGAAACTGGGTATCTGTTTGAAACTTTTTATTATGTCGCAATGCAAATAAAAGCATACACTGATATGAATGTGTATCAATGAAGAGACAACCGAAACAATAAATATATATCTACATGTATGTATTTATTTAAAGGTATGTTCACACTTACCCTGTGCATTTTGTGAGGCATTTGACCACTACCTTGATTAATTGACCACAAAATGTTACCTTTAAATCTACTAAGATCATAACACAAAGGGCGAGTAGTGTTAAATTTTCCCTTGTGTTTTTTATTCGTTAGCCTTTGAAACACAACCCAAAGTGGGTGAATATATCAATGCATAGAGTGTTTGAGAGGTGCTACAAAAAATCCCCCTGCTCGTGACGACCTGCCATACAAAAGCCACTGTCTGCATTATAAAGCTGAAAATTGGATCCGTTATTTTTGTCGAGTTAAATTAAATTCATTAAAATTTTAAAACGATCCGTTTGATTGAACGAATATGTTATAACCCTTAACACCTGTCCCCCGAGTTATTGCCAGTTTTTTATTTCTTTGACAAATGGAGAGTCGTGTAATTGAAGGATTTCCCACTGCTCGTTGATGAGATATAATGTATTCAAAACGAATACTCCGCAGCGTAAATCAATATCAAATTACAGGATGAGAATTCGTGATTCCAGTGTCTGAACAATGATATAGTTCAGCTGTGAGATTGAAATTCAATATTTTGTCATAAAATGTATGTTTGATTCATAGTAAACAAAGTATGATAGACATAATTTTTACTTAATCTCATTTCAATTTTAGTTCAACCAAAGTCATTCGATGAAGTGGTTCTTTATGAAAATATCAATACTTCTTCTAGTTCGAATAATTCCAGCAGATAAAGAGAGGGCATAGAGAATCTAAATAGACATATATTAGAAATAAAACCGAGAGGTTACCAAAATATTCATCAATTTCCAAATATTAAATATTTTCTTTAAGAGTTCATAAAGAATTAAACATAAAAATAAAAGGAGGTAAAATAGTAAAGTTGTAAAGTCAATTATTTGCATAATGAAATTTAAATGAACCAGACAAGACACTTGAAATAAAAATAATAACACACTTTCAAGATGATACTGGTGCAATAATTTCATGTATGTGTTCAATTAATCATTCCTATAATAATAAAATTACCAGCGGGGTTGAGCTCTAGCTGAGACAGCTTTGCCACTGCCTCTGCAGCGACTCTGACCAGGAGGTCCTGAGTTTATGCCCGACGCTGGCACATCTTGTTGATTCTACCTATGTACGAGTAGCTCGGTCGAATTAAGCATTCAGCAATTGTCTCTAGGAAACCTCTAACGGATGACTGCTCTGATAGTTTTCATTCTGTGATCGATTTATTTCACGCACACTAACAAACACTACATTACCACACATCGAGAGACCAGTTGGGAACAAAATGTTTGTCCCGGTTGGGGGGGGGAGGGTGCCCCGCTGACGGACCCCCTCCATCCGACGTGTAGGTCGGCACCTGATCTCACCATCAAGCAGGGGAGAAAAACCAACACTTCTCGCGATAAAACATTCACAACATTAAAGGTACTAAAGACTATATCAGTTGCCGTACCCAGAAACATTCTTTACACCTTGACCGACGTCTTCAGTCCGCTGCGCCATCTAGAAGCGGCACGACTTCACTCCTCTAAATCGCTATACGCTGAGGGTCGACTCACAAGCTTCGTCTAGCCCAGATTCAGTATTCACATTAAACCGAAAGAGATCGCAGGTCACACAGGAGCGTTGGATGGGGAGAGGTAGAAAGTGCCTGCAGAAAAATAGTAACAGACGGCGGGGTAAGGGTGCAATCAGGATCTCAAAAAGGGCCCAACGCCATGAAAAATAAATAAATAATAACATAAATGTGAGATTGCTACAACGAAGTGAAACATTTCTGACACAAATAAATGTTCTGAGAAATTATAAGCTACTGCGGCATTGAAGGAATTCGTATATTTGGAGGCAAACTATTCAACGGATTCCTTTCAGCACATCCTCTGTGACCGGCATTATAAATGAGAAAGTCAGCTTGACTCCGTAGGGATATAAAATGCAGATGAAGTTGACTTTTACGACGGGGTCATGCATGGCTACGCTCTAGCAAGCCTTACTACTTTGCGCGCTCTTTCTAACGCTCGCTTTCGCACCCCTTCAGCGCTGAGGGCCGCCACGTGCGTTGCATTCTTCATGACCATGTTATGTCTTTTCATTTTGTCATTTTGTTCATGCAGTCAATATACCGGAAAACTGGCATTTAACCCCTCTATTTTTTTATTTTGTGTCTTCTTTATTCTCTTCTTTCACTACTTCTGTGCCTTAACTTTTACTACTTGCCTGCGTTAACTTCCCTTCCTCCATTGTATTGTATTGATCATTTACTTCTTAAATATGAAATTCATTCATATGATCACGGACGAAAAGCAGTTTCTGCTGTAAAAAAATTATGCTTTTCGGCTCAGTGAAATTGAAAGATTGAATTTTGCTACTACTAAGAGAGTTTGTTTTGCAACAGTAAATACAATTTTTTGTATTATTTTTAATGATATTATTTTTGCTTACGCTTTAAAATCTAAAATTAATAAATCAATTAGCGAAAGGATGTAACGAGGATTGTAAACATTGCCTGGGTCAATGATATCAATCTCGATATAAGTTTTTAGGTTTCCTTTGATCCACAAAACAAACGCTGAGGTCGTCGTTTCTTTTGCCTCTGAGCAATACATTTCGATTTCATTTCTTATTGCTTTTGTGCTTTTCCCATTTTTTTACCATTTCCTCCTTCCTATTCTTCTTCACACCAAGACTCTCAGTTTTTCAGAGTTCATGTTTCTTATTTTTTCAGATAGTAACTTTAGTTTGTTTATTGTCTACTGCAATTAAAACCTTATAATTGTTCCATTACCAATTTTTCATTATGTCTGGATTCTTTCGCAAACTATCATATAACCCCAAGATTTTATTACTCTCGTATTCTTATGCTTGAACATCCAACTCTACTTTACTCGACGATTAGCATCCCATCACTCATCTTCTCACTCTCCATTTCATATCTTTCTGTTCACACCTACAAAAATTATTTTCATTTCTCTAAGAATTTTCTATGTGATAATATTGTCCGTTTGTCTCTACGTTTAATTTTTCAACTATTAATTAGCATCATGTATGAGACAAATATAAAAAATGTTTATGGTAAAGCAGGAAGCCTAATAAGAAACTCTGAGCTTTTGGTCTCAAGATCACTTAAATACTGAAACAAAGCGATGGACAAGACTGATTGAAACAAAGAATGAGTGGGACTGATTCATTTATTTAAAAATACAAACAATACTTGAAATAATGCTTAAAACCACTGTTCGTAAATTTTATCCCCTTACCCCAAATACCAGTGAAACATTGTTTTAGAGAATCAAAGTTGGTGTATTGAAGTGACCACGCGTATGCGCGAAACAACCTGGGTCCATGAGCGGGGCCAGGGGGCTGAGAAACGCCAGGGCATTTGCCACATCTCTCGGGTGGCCGTGCGCTGCGGCGGGCGGGTGGGTGGCGGCAGCGCTCGCGGCTGGGTGTGCCGCGCCCCCGCCCCCGCCCCGCGCCGCCGCCCCGCGCCCGCCGCCGGCCGCCGCCGCCGGTCAATATGGGTCGCCGGGCGGCGGCGGCGGCTGTGCGCGAATGAGGCGGCGGCACTGCGCGCAGCCCGCGCGACCTCGCCGAACCGCCGCCCCTCGTCCGCCCCATCGCGTGCCACCCCTTTTCGACGCGAGTATTCTCTGAATGAAACGAAACGGTCTCGGGTCCTGGATCAAATTTCACGCCCCTCAGACAGTCCCCTCATCCGGCATCGGGGCTGGCGGGTCTTTCCTTTTCCCTGGAGTCTGCGTTGATGAACAGGAGGGTGACTGGCGCCTGGGTTTAATATATTTCACTTTAAGTGCTTTTCTGTTTCTGTTGTTGAGTGTGTTTTTCTATGTAATATTATTGTGTGAATCATATTATGTGCTTGTGCCTCCCTACCTTTCCCTCCCTCTCCGTTCCCTTTACGTCCTCATGCCTTCTTATGTTCTTTCTTTCTCTCCATCTCTCACCACTGTCTCCGTTTGCTCTGTCCCCCGTTTTCTTCTCTCTCCCTCTTTCTCAGTCTCAAACACACTCCTGAACTTCCACTTCCATTCGACGCACACCCACAATTACCATTAGGTGTACCACACGACCTGAATAATACAAAAACATTTATGCTATTTCTGTTCTCTCATTCAAATTTCACTCAAACATTTTTTTTCGGTAAAATTTTATTTTTTATCCAAACCCTAGTAAACTATCACACTTTTATTGCAGCTCTCCCTAACCTGAGTTCCTGACTTAATTTGAATACGGAGCATAAAGAGAGATTCCCTCCCGCTGTGCGTGCGATTGCAAATGCCACGCGCAGACCTCTGACCGGGCGTGGCGTGGTCGCGTTGCAGGTGAGCCAGTCCGGGGCGCACCAGGTGGTGCTGCGCGACGTGCAGCTGGAGCTGGCGGGCAAGTACCGCTGCGAGGTGTCCGCCGACGCGCCCAGCTTCCACACCGAGGTAGTGGCCTCGCACATGCACGTCGTCTGTGAGTACACCCGCACTCGCTACTTGCAGTGTTGCTCCCGCGCGGCGCTCGCTCGCTGTGGTGCTGCTCCTCCACGCCCTCTTCTATTTGCAGTGAATTGCCATGCTGTTAACTTTTGATTGTCTACATGTTGCTGCGTTGCACATACGCAGTGCAGTATTAAACGTTATCATCACGGTCTGTTCGTGGAATCATCTAGAGCGAGTAGTATGAAGACAAACAATTGTACTGAAAATAATGCTTGAGACAATACCAAACGATTTGTTATTAATGCACTCATTATTACTATTATTATTATTATTACTATTATTTTTATTATTATTATTATCAAAGTTTTATTTGGTTTCTTTCTTTTTACCGATATGCCCGAACCGTAAATATTTCAACATTGCCACCAGAACTACACGTCCAGGGCCGTAGATATTGTTCAGTGTTAGAATAGAAATTATTGTGTATACTTTTCACGCTAATGTATTATTTTTTCTCATATCAAGATTCACAGTATTTCAACTTCGCATGAAAATAGCTTTCTTCAAACATTTATGATCAAATTAAAAAGTAACTTGAAAAGTTCAAGTGGCCTTGAATATTTCGCAGAATTAACTGGTGCGTTATTGATTAAACATTCACGTGTCAGGGGAAATGGTATTCACAATTCTGCATGCCCGTTAGAGTGCACATAATAACTCTTCAGGGATTTTTTGCAGCTCGAAATGACATTGTGGCTATTTCACAAAAGTTAAAGCAATGTATTGGGTGTCTGTTGGCTTCGAGCATGAAGCAATTGCTGCCAACGAGATTATTCACTCCAAAACAAAGTGATGCTACAAAATACGTTGGGCTCCGGTCATTGTTGCGTTGCATCAAAGTAAATAGCGCCCGATAATTTTGTGCAGTCTCATTTAAATAATCCAATCATAATTGTCGAAGCCTATTGTCTTCAATAACGCTCATTTTCATTCGAATCGAAGCACAGTATTTCCGCTTCTGGGCTGCAGGAATCTGAATCGATTTGGCTCATTGGGGTGAAAAAGCTTTTATGAGCCACTTTATGTAACGCACCCATGTAGCCGAGGTAAATTGTTAACGGTTTCGAATAACTCTGACCAATTTTTAATTTCGAGTCAATTATTTTCGCACCTTTTATCTTATTTTAATTATGGTCTTCCCCTTCTTTATCGTTTATTTGAAAATAATACAATTAATGGAATTTTTTAGTACGAGCTTACAAAAAATCAAATTTGTTTTCAGAAATATTGGAAAGCTATTTTGTGTATAACCGCAGCTCAGGTGTTATTGAGAACGGGAAAAGACTATATCAAAGACATTAAGATTAAAATCATCTTATGGTATTCTCTCATTGAAAGTGATTTTATCATTACTCTAAAAAGTAAACAATGCTTAAATAATACAGTTCAATACAATCTCTGACATAACCACGGAAAGAGATCGAGAAGGGAAAAATATATTTAATATAAAATTGTCGTATTCAATTTAGAGACTGTTAGCAATACTCACGTATTTGGTATTCGAAACTACAGAAATTCATAAAAATGTTTTGGTCTGAGGTAATGGTTATTGAATATATATTTACATTATTAAAATCTCAATTCAAAACGTTGCAGTATTAATAGATTAGTTTTCATTAAATTATTATTTATATCCTTGTATCATTTTGCTAAATATTTACAATTATCGTCAGAAACTGTTTAGAAACATCTTAAATCGATAACTCTCGAATGATTCGAAAGTTGAAATACATAATATTTTATTCCAAGAATACGCATTTTGAAAAACAGAAGATATAAAATTACAACCTGACTTTTTTCAATCTCAATGGTAATCCAAATAACTTGTTCTTTATTACCAGTAGTGTAAAACTGTAACAGTCATGCCAACGCGCTCGAATAAAACTACATAATAAATTTATTAATAATTCATTAATGAATGGTGAATATTTCGAAGCTATTGCTACATATTTTACTGGAGAAAATAGATGTATGGTGGCCTGATGGGAGGTCATCACACACGAAAGTTAAATTCTAATCGCAGTTCCACGGAAATTTTCATATCATTTATTTCTAATTAACTACCACAATGTACAACAAATTTCTACGTATTGTGGTAGAGTAAGCAAGTGTGAACTAGAATTGTCAGAATTTCGAAATTCGCGTTTTCACTGTCTATGATTTTAGATAAGATAATAGATCCAGATGGAAATCGTATAGATCAAGTACATGTTGGTCTTTACTATCTTTGCTGTTTGCAAATGATACGTTTATCAATAGATAATAGCTTTCTCAGCGATTCTTAATAACGATCCTAAATATCATTTTACCAAAACAACGGTGTTCATCAGGTAAGAGACGACCATCACAGTGTTGAAGTATTTGCAAATTTCGTGCAGTTACGAAGTAAAAATTTGTTAGAAACCTAATCGGATAGGTGTTATCTCAAGTGATGCTGTTGTTACAGCAACCCGAAACGTAAAAAAAATTCGGAATCAGATATTGCATCCAATTCAATAACAACCAAGTTATGAAATGGATACAAACAAAATACGCATTGCTAGGTACGAAAACAGTGTGTCTAAAAAATTTCTGATCTGACATCTGTCAAAACAAAATATTAAAGTTCTTGTATATTGTATCTATGTCTTGTATATATATCTGTATTTGAATAATATATTCAAATGACGGTATCATAATTTCAAAAATTATCAATTTTACTTAGCATTATTTACTGTGAATGCCATTGTATTGGGTATCCACGTATTTGTAAGGGATATAAAAATTAAGTATTCCTCCTCGCTGATTGGTATGCTAGGGCAGGTGGGACATATCGTAAATGTTTTCATTATCTAAGCCGGTTTGCTATGAAATGAGACTACAAACAGTAAATCTCTTATGAGTCTTTATGGCCAATATCTCGTTATATACCAGTTTGTAGTAACCATCATTTGCAATAATTTTTAAACTCAGTTTTCAAAACGTTACACATACGAATTACTGGGAGACGTCAAATTCTTCATGTATTCGGATTTCGGAAAAGAGATTATCTTTCTCCCTGAAGCAGATGTCCCGGCTCAGTCGTCTTTCACCCTTCGCCCTATGTTCGTAAGACGCGGGCGCCCTGGGCCAGGCGAGTGCCCTTGGTAGGCAGCGCGCGGGCCGGATTCGCTCGGTGCCCGGTCACGTACGGCGCGCGGCCGCCCGGAAACGCTCAGGCGCAGCGGGGCGGAGGGGACGGAGGGAGCGGGGCGCCGCTGCCCGCGGCGGGACACGCCCTCCCGCCCGCAATTGGGTTGCCGCGCTCTGGGCCACCGCCTGTTCCCGACCTGACAGCCCCGAAACTAATAAGCATAATTAAGCAATCACCGCCGTAACGGCCCACCCTCCAGCGAGCCCACACGGATGCACCCCGCCGGCTCACCCGGTGGCTCGCCGGCCTGCCTCCGCGCCTCCGAGCTAATCTGCTCGCGCTCCGCTCGCGCGCTCGTCCGTGGCCTCGCTCGCGCTTCCAGCGGCCTCTTGCGGAGCCCTCCGCTTCCTCGCTTGCGTCCCCACCCGGGCGTACACCTCCCCCTCCCCCCCTCCTAACACCCTGCTGGATCTCACCGTGGTTTACTCCCTTCCTTAGTCATCTGCTGGGCCGTTAGCTCCGTCACACTTCATCCGCCTGTTTACCCTTTCGATTTCTCGCTCATTCGCCCAGTCCCTCCTCCCCGCATTAGTTTCCTCTGCAGCAGACAACATCGTTTCGCATGCGGACACTCTCATTCTCTCCTCCATCTCCTACTCAGCCCTACCTTATCTCTCCATCTCCAGCCATCGGAGCCCCAAACCTCCCCTCTGCGTTTCTCCCGTCCAGCAGCTGTCGCCCTCCCGACTTCCCGCGACGGCCTCCCTCGGACAGCCGCGCTGTGGCCGCGCAGCGCCACGCGGGTTGCGTCGCCCCTTCCCCGCCTCTCCGTCCATTTAGGGCCCGCGCCTGCCGTGCTGTCCCCGACGCCTGCGGGCGTCCCTGGGGCGGCGCCGTCGCCGAAGGCAAGGGGGGGAGGTGGAGGCTGGGGAGGCCGGCCGCCCCGCGCGCATTACGTCACCGCCGCCCAGTGGCCGCGCGGAATTGCTCATTGCAGGCGCTGATTGGCGCCTGGGGAGCGCCGAAGGGGCCCCTGCGAGCGGAAGTACTCGCCGGTTCCGCGCGAGCGCGTGCGCGGCGTCGATTAGATGGGCCTTGGGCTGACCCTCGGGCGGAGAGATTTGGCGTATCTACATGGAACTCGTTTTTCTTTACTCGGTGAGGTGACTCGGTTGTATGACTAACCTAAGGAAACTATTTCATAATATTCTGTAGTGAATGATTCAGTCGCTAACGGACGACGTTGCTCTGATAATTTCATTAGAATTACGTTGAACGTTTCTGTTGGAGGATAACGACGTATTCAGAGGAAGTGGTGGTGCTCTAGGCAACCCGCCAGTCATGAGTGTATCATACTCCAATTTAATGCATACTGTGCCCCTGACTCCTTAATTTCCTTCATAGATTTGTATACGTGGTTCATTGCAGACTGCAAAAATCACTTTACAACGGGAAATTGTTGAGTATATCAATTGAATATAATAAATCACGAATTATATTTCTTATAATTTCTTAATAAGTCAAAGTTTTCCTGACAGTCCAACATATTGCAAAAGGAGAGGATCCACGACCTCAATAAAGCATTAACAATTGTTTGGGGAATCCGTTTTTTAATTCATTGGCATAAGCTGGAAAGTTACGGTTAACTTTACGAACTTACGAAATATTTTTATATCGCAACATCTATTCTTTATTACTTGGTGACCTGCTCTGTCCTATGACTCGGCAGCCGGCGGCCAGCTGGCCTTGGCCGACCAGCGGTGACCCAGCTCTCGGCCATGGGATAAGGGGTTCGTGTGGTTAGCACGAAGACACCCTCTTCACCGTATAT